CAAAAAGAAAGGTTCGAAGAACTCTCATTAAGGCCTATTCTTCTAAATCGCTTCATTGATGAAAATGCTGTAGCATATGTAGGCCTTAGAGATGCAGTTTTAGAACTATTGAAAAGACTTAGGTGGTAGAGATTCATTACCATGAAGGATTTTGTTTATGCACCACTTACATTAGAATTTTTGAGCCCTTATTCGAGTGATATCTTTTTGTTGCATGAAAATTAACCAAATAAAATTAAATTTAAACTTTTTGGAAAGATATATACATTGTAAGTGGATGAGGTTAGCTATAACTTTGGGTTCCCTACAGAGGCTGGCCAAAAGACTATCCTTAAGGATTTTAGAGCCGGCAGTAAATGGATTAGTTTAACCGGACTAAGTGTTTATAATCCTAGGTACTCTAAAGCTTCTAAGTTGAGAAACCTAGCATACAGGTATATTCATAAATTCCTAGCTAGCACAATCTTTGGGCGGCGCAAAAGTGATGTTGTGTTGAGTTTGAATGAATTACACTTTATTTGGGCTATTGATCAGGGGGTACATTTGAATGTGGGGTATTGGCTCTGTCAGCTTAGAGTAAAATTGCTAGGGCAGATAAGGGTGCTATCATGATGGGTTGTTTTGTTGCACGGATTGGGTCTTATATCAAAGCATTGGATCCTATTCGTCCTATTTATGATATTTTGGAAGGAGGAAAAAGCACACTAATTGATATAGATGCATTTCATCTGGTGAGACGTACAGCTGGGGAGGATGATGAGAGTGATAATGAGGAGGGAGATGATATTAACATGGAGGAGGATTTTCCACATACCTCTCCTAGTTTGGCTACTTTTTCTGGTGCAGGTACAGCTGGAGCTGGTTCATCATTCCAGTCGGCTTCAGAGATGTCCAATGAAGAGGTTCTCACACGCATGATTTCTAGATGGACATGTTTGATGCTCGCTTTCAGTGGATGGAAACCATGATTTCTGACCATTTTCAATCCATAGAGCTTATGCATGGGAGTCTTGAGTCTTACATGGACACCATGCAAGATCAATATCAGGGAATGAATAATCAGCTCCAGACAGTAATTTAGTTGCTGCAGCCACATCCACCTCCACCACATGCGGAGTGATATTTTTTGTTGTTTTCAGTTTTCTTGTTTTTCTTGTGTTTGTTTGAGTTTCTTTTGTTTATTAGTTTATTTTCGAACCTTGTTCTTGTTCACATTAAGTATTTTGGATATTACGTGCTTTGCTTTTAATTTTCTTTTTCGTAGCTTTGATAATTTCCAGCGCTCAGCTCTTATCGTATCTTTTCCTTGGTTCGCATTGTATTTTTCAATATAATGGTGGTAATAATTTCTCAACTCTCATATTATTCTGCCACCCTATTGATGTTATGATAAGTTTGGAGAATTGATTTTAGACACATCGAGGACAATGTGTTAGATTGAGTTTGGGGAAGGGAAATTTTAGTCAAAATTTTTGTTTATTTTTAGCTTAATATGGCTGAAATAATTATAAGCAAAATCAGAAAGTATCGTTATCTATGAAACTTGTGATATTTTGAATTTTTTTCTAGTCTAGTTATGTTTTAACTTAAACTTTAATTCTTAACTTAATATGATTCTTTGGTTTAAGCATTTGTTTTTAAGATCATAAACACCAATCTTTGTAAATTTTTGTGATAGATATGTATATTTGATCCAAATTTATTTAACCTTGGCATTCCTAGAACAATTTAGAATTCCCCTTAAGGCAAAATTTTTAAAAAATGCTCACATTAGAAAAAAAATATGATTTAGGCATTCCTTGTTTATAACTCATATTTAGCTTAAGCCACCTTAAGTTGAATTATGACCTTTGCAATCAATTTAAAGCATATAACCAAAATTTTCTTGTTAACCCTTATTAAAGCCTAGCCATAAAACCAATTTAAGATTCCATACCCTAAGTACAATAATGTATAATTGAAGGATTGGATTTTATTAAAACATAGCAAGAGAATAAAAGGGAGAATATTCCATAATCAATAGCAAGTGAAGAAATTAAGAAATTCAAAGAGAGACACCCCATATAAAAAAAGCAAGTAATCAAGATTCAAGTTTGGGAAATTTTTGAAGCAAGGGACAAATTATCAAAATATTATGAAGAACTTCAAGCAAATCTCCCTTTACAAATAAGAACAATATTTTGGTATAATTAAATCTGGATAGTATACATTCTTTGTACTTTTTGTCATCTTTTATTCCTTTTCTTTGTCAAACTAATCTTTAAACCCTCAAACCCCATTACAATCCTAATTAAAGACCTTTTGATTTTTTTCTAAATGTGCTGCATTTTAAATTGTGGAGAGGGGATCAATATTTTACCTATGGAAATGTTGAATCTGCATCACCTTATTTAAAGATTAATAATGTTTTGAAAATTCATATTTCTGTTTGTCATAATTCAAACATTGACTGGTGTTAAAGATTTTGTTAACTTTTGTTTATATTAAGGAATGTGTGCTATTAAGAATTGAGTTTTTGCTAAAATATAATTGGCAGAGGAAACACTTGATTTAGTCTCATCTTAATAAATTTTGATATTTTTGAATTTGTGAGTAATTATCCCCAACCATATTAAGCTAGCTTTGATAATTTCATTTCTAGTTATGTTTTTGCTTTTGTTTTGACTGTGTTACTTGAGGACAAGTAATGGTTTGAGTTTGGGGAATTTTGAAAGTTTTTATTTTTATAGTCATTTTTAGTAAACTTTATTTAAGTTTTTCATTTAATTTTTATTTCTTTTGTTTTATTTCAATTAATTTATTTATGTTTTTTAATAAAACTTCCTTAAATCATATTTCACTTGATTTTGAGAAATTTTGTAGGATTTTTATGGAAAATCAGCCAAAAATGCAGAAAAGAATGAATCTAAGCAAAAAGATTGGCACCCTCGTGTAGAGTTCAAGTAAAAATTCACTAAGGTTCAAGGACTAGCATGCCCGTGCTATGAGAAGATGATGAACCAAGAGCGTGCTCACCTAAGCACGACCTATGCCGCATCCACCTTCAGGTTCAGGGGCTAGCACGCCTAGCTCGTGCCATCTAGCACACCCGTGCTGAAGTCTAGATTTCATATTGGGCCGAAAACTTCAGTTATATCCTGTGCCGCTTACATGAGATGCTTTTTCGATGTGTCAATCAAGCTTAAACCCTATCTAGCCACTGGAGAGTCATAATTTGGAAGCAATACAAAGCCTAATCAGTTTCCTACCTCAAAACAATTTCTTCCTCATTAGAGATTTTATTTCCTAATCAAATTTGAAGATTTCCCAAGGAGTCTATATAAAGAGAGAGATTAGCTACGTTATGCGTATCAGTGGTTCTATTACTTTCTCTACATAGTTTTTTCTCTCTTTAAGACTTCAAGTATTTAAGTTGAAGATCAAGATTCAAGAAAGCCATTCAAGCCAATTGTTGGCTAGCTTTTATTCTTAAACCCTCCTTTTGTTTATTATTCTTTATGGGATTATTTATACATTTAATTGAGTTTGATTTATTTACTATGTCGGACTAAATCTTCTTACTAGAGATATGGTGTAGCTTAAATTCAACTCCAGTTTATAATATTAGATTTAATTTTCTATATTCAAGTAAATTTTATTATTGATCCTAATGCTTCTAGGCAGAGTTTCTCCCCTGGATTGATTTATTTCATTAATCATTGTCGAGAGAAGGGTTTTTGATATGAATAGGGCAATAAATTTTATGGGAATAACAACTTGATGCGAGAGCTAAATGGTTTGACTTGTGGGAGGTTTTCATAAAATTAAAGATTTTAATTTGTGAATTCCTAAATAATCACAATAACTTAATGATTTATTTATGTTTGATTGTGCCATTGAGAGATAAGCAATTGAAGTGGGTTAAAATTGCCAATAAAACATCGAGAGAGCTTATTAGTAAATTTAGGGTTATTTCTCCTTCTTGAATAATTAAAATTGATTTCAAAACGAATAGGATAAACTGGATAGAATTAAGTGAAGTCAAAATCCCTAGTAACTTTTAACCCTTGATTTCCTTTTCAACAACTTGTTGCTTGATCTCATTCTTATTATTTTTACTTTAATTCTTTTATTTTCAAATACATTCTCTTTATTGTCGTTTAAATAATAATAATTTAACACAATTTTGGTACTTGATATATAATTTTTGTAGGACGATACTCTACTCACTCTTTATTACTTGTTTACAATTTCGTATACTTATGAAAAAGCTTGTCGGTCTTTCTCACTTTTATATTCATTATTTAGATTGCTTGTGTAAAATAAATTATTAGAAAAATATTTTTCAGATTTTGAGATATTTAGGAAAATTCATTTTCCTGATCAAAGGAAAAACTAAGTAGTTTTATAGGAAAAAGACTTCCTATTTTTAAAAAAATAAAACTCAAATTGTAAAAATAAAAGAAGAATCAATGTGTGTATTCTAGCCCTCCTTTGATAAACTTTTTATTACTTCAAAAATTCACATTTATTAATTTAATAATCAATTATAGGCCACCACTAGTCTCTAGCGATTATCAAAATTTATTATTTTTTATGTATTTTTTTCTCATATTTAACAATAAATCTTCAATATATGAAATTTTTATAAATATAAAATTATGTAATTTAAAATATTTCTATAGTTTAATACATTAAAAATTTTAATATTCTTAATTAATTTTTTAATGATGTAACCAACAAAGTAGTAAAAAATAAGTTCTTTAAAAAATATTTTTTAAAAACAGGTTATTTTCCCTGAACAAAAGGAGCTTAATCCATACTTTAATGTAGAAATTCAGTTCCTTCAAACAACAGCATTCATATACATGTACGTAAATGAAGGACACAAACATAGAAGTGACTCAATTCATTTTAAATAACCTATACTTGAGATCTATTATGGTAATATCAGAAATTTGAAATTCAAACTTTTCGATAAATTCTCTTTAAATATTTTTGCTAACAAAAGGCAAAAAGAGTAACAAACCTTGCTAAACTTAGAAGCCCAAACGGGGATGTTACAGCTGCAGAAAATGACTGAAGTGATCAAAAGAAAAATATTCATATTACAATCATATAATATAAGGTTTTTCCAAAATCATATATTTAATGCAAATACATATAGACGCAGTGCTATGCTTACAAATTCAAGAAAGGACAAAATAGTAAACAGCAAGGAGACTCTTTAGAACCTATCAGTCTAGAAGAGTTCTTTAAATCCGCTTCCTTGATTCAACATAGTAGAAAAAACACAAACTTCCAAAAGACTGTTCACTCCCTTTTAACAGTATTTCTTTGATAACTTGATTCTCCTTAGCAACACATGCATCAACAAGATCCTGCAAAGTTTCTTATATTCATGCAAGTTTCAATATAGTGCTAAGGAAGAGGTTGAGAAGGGAATGCTAGAAGAAGATGAAGCCATAGTACTTATGATGGCTCTGATACCACGTGAAAACTGAGGATTAAAGTGATTTGTGTATTGTGTACAAATTTCAAAGAAATAAAGAAAGAAAGACAATAAAGAGTTGCATATAAGTGTAGGAATAAAGACAATAAAGGGTTCTATATACGACAACTATATCAATCCGTATAAATCTGACAAGGGATATACATGAATTTAAGTATAGCAGATTGTACAATTTATAAGCTCATATTCCGATAATGCGAAAGCCTCTTTAGTATGGTCTGCTAGAAGGGATGGCAAATGGGGTACCTTCCCTTCACTTTTGTCTAGGGGCCTGAGAACGTATATAACGTAGCAACTTTATTAGAGAAAAGAATATACTGTTTAGTCATGAAATTTTGGAAGAGGCAGAACTAGCAAACCCTAATATGATATTTTAAGTATATTGTGGCAGCCTATTCATCTCTGTGGAGTGACTGTGATTATCTCTTAGCAATTAATGTTTACATTCTATGCAGCAGATTGTTTCTTTCATCCGCAGAAGATATATGTTTTAAGTAATACGTGTGTGTTGCGAACCCTTGTCAAAGCCGACAAATATGGGATGCTTCGCATACTAGGCCTTAAATGAACTTGCAAGTGACAGTAACGCATGATAGTTAACATGGTGAAGAAAATTAGTGCTTTAATTCCAAGATTTGGAATTGATGTGGGTTAAGAAACTTCACACTACAGTTTTGTATGAAACTATAACCAAAATGCCTTTATAACTCAATCTTTCACTCTCTCTATATATGCTGAAACATCAAAGCATTCAACAAGAACAGATAAAGAGGAAGCCTTATTTGAATCTAGAAGAAATTAAGACAAGAACATCCAAGACTGTAGATGGATATTGATATGTCTATGTATACAGTGTGTGTGTATATATATATATATATATATATGTAGAGGAACAGAAAAACTCAATGTAATTAAATGGACATTATATGTATTTTTTTTAGGAGCATAAAACTCATCAGCTCTAATCACCAAAACATTAAAAAAAAAAAAAAAAAAAAAAAATGTAGGGAACAGAAAAAACTCAATGTTAATTAAATGGACCATTTATATGTATTTTTTTAGGGCATAAAACTCATCAGCTCTAATCACCAAAACATTAAAAAAAAAAAAAAAAAAAAAATTTAAAAAAAAAAAAAAAAAAAAAATTTGAGATGCAAACAAATACAAGATGCAAAGGAGAAGCTATGGTATGAATTAAATAGAATAAACCTTCTGTCCCACCAAATCTGATATTGGACAACATGCAAATCTTAGAAGGTACAAAGAGCAATATGCTAAATTTCAAAACTGCCCTCGCAAAGACCTTCTGCACTATAGAAAAGCAATTTGTGGGGGCATCAGTTAAATTGGGATTTTTTTAAAATATTGATTAAGTAATACAACAATTATTAAATTACTTGTAGCTTTTTCCCACATCCAGGAGATTCACAGTCATGGAATTCATAGAAAAATTCTAGATCAGAAAAGGCAAAAAGAAATCATTCTCAGACACCAATATCTCTATATATAAAAAAATATTTTCAAGAAACCTTAAAACTTTTTTTATCAATGTGCAATATCAATCAATAATTACTTTGTATATCTTATTTGCATTAACATGGAAAAGTGTATGATATCTCACTTGACCACTTATGAGAAGAAAATCCTGAGAATCTTAAAAGAGCTTATTAAATAGGGAAAGGTTAACTTACAAATTAAATAGTATATAAAATTTGGACTCCATAGATAGCTAGAGACGAATTTGCATGATTTGCTTAATTTTCTGTCTAAAAGAGTCTTCTTATCAATTATGTGTAGAACATGCTAGCTCTACTGTTTGTTGGACAAAAGATGTTTAGTAAACTACATTATTTTCACCATATAGCTTTTGATATGTCTTTTTGGTAGCAATCTTATTAAGTGACTGTTCAAATTAGGGTTCTTACATATTCTGGTTTTAAAATTAGCATAAGCAAAAATAAGATCTTACAGATGCAAGAAATTGATGATTCATTTTCTAAATATGGTTCTTGTATGTAAACAAATTATTTGATAGTTACAAGTTCAAACCCATATAAGAGTCTAATTAACCAGATGGACATATAAATATATTTGATGGCTTATGCTCCTCATTCTATGTATTCCTCTTGAACTTCTGGAAAAGAATTTAATTAAGGCTTTAATGCAGATCAAAGAAATTGTAGATGTTATTAGTTCATGAAATATTATTAGAAATTTAATCCAATTTTAATTAGGTTTGATTAAAAAATCTGAGTTTCTTTATTAGGACAGCAACAAGATTCAAATTAGATTCAAATTTAAAAAAAAAAAAAAAAAAAAAAAAATTTAAAAAAAAAAAAAAAAAAAAGAAAATTAAGGAAATGAAAGAAATTATTACCATATAGTAAAATGGAGAATCTAAGAGAAGTGCATGGCGGAGGTTGATTCATCAATTCCCTTGCTTGGAGTAGGCTTCTTCTTCTTCTTCTTATATGGAATCCCTCTTGCCTTAGCTTGACAGTCCCTTACTTCCCTTAGATAAACACGAATAGCACCACTAGCAAAAGGGTTAGTCTCAGGTGATCCTCCATTCTCTTCATAGGCAGCTCGAAGCCGACCGATAAGAGCATCAAGACTACCCCAAGCTTGTCTAAGAGGACAAGTACAAGGAGCAGGAGGTTCAGGCTGTCCATAAAACATACAACCTTGTACATGAACTTTAGTCTTTCCAAACTGATCTAAATACCTGAGAAAGTCAAGAACATGGTTGCAATTGCACTGGGATAGGGGTACCGGAGGCCTTTGATTCTTCAAGTACTGACCAAAAGTGTTCCAATCCCTTCTTTTCTGCGATTCATAACGGCTAGGAGTAGCTGCGGCTTGTTCATTGGATCCTTCTGCCAAATCTTTTCCTCTATCACCTGACATGATTTAATTTGGTAGCTAGCTATAGAATTATTGATCATCAATTAGTGATCTAAAAAACTATATGCTTGATTTTGCTCAATAAGGCAAAGAATGAGAATTAATCAGCGGAAGTCATGAGAGAGAATCAAAAGAGGTGAAAAGAATAGGGTAAGAGGAAGATGAACTTCACATCATGAGACTAGTGATGAGTAGACATACCATGGGACCATAAGCACTTGCTTTTCTTCATCTTTCTTTTTATTTTTCTTTTAATATAATATATAAATACAGTAATCTTTGGCCTTTGGCATTAACCATACGTTTTTCCCCTAAACAAACAATTATTGTATGTCATTTTGTCAACGTAAATTTTATTATTTGAGGTCGTATTAGATCATAATTACTATAATTGCCCTTATATATCTGTGCAAGTACCTTACCTCTCTCATTACTAGCCACTGGCCAGCTCTATTTGTATAAGGAATCACAATTGCTTACCTGAGATGGATATTCATCTTTTATATTTGTTTATTTCATATTTGTATTCATTTTCATAATTAGTTTTTTTGTATATAAATATATATGGAAGGCCTAATAGACCAGAATAACGTTATTTGTAACACGACAAGGACCAGAATAACATTTTACTAAATTGTTGATAAGGGCATTTCTAATGTGGTTGATATGTTGTGTGAGATAGAAGAAGTGAACGAGGATATGGTTGAATCTCTATTAATAGACCTTGACAAAAATCTTACTCCAATGCATTAGTTTTGGATCCTTCCATCCTTTTTTTTTTTAGGCCTACGATTCAATATGCAACCGATCACTATAGACTAATAAATGCCTACATTGTCTAAGAGTCTGCCTACATTATCTAAGAGACTCTCTAAAAACAGATAAGAATAATCAACTTTAGCATTTTTTATAAGACACAAGAAAATCAATCAGGTCTGACTAGCTATATTATCATAATTAGGCTTCGTTTATTTCCGTAAAATAACTTATAGAGAGTAAAATATTTTCCGGATATTGACAAATCTTATAAATCTATATTTTTTTAATTTATTAATTATCGCAGTCACTACTATCAGTCATCATTTACTACCGACCACCCACCGGCTACCACCACTGGCCACCACCACCAGCCACCGACACCTTTCATAATGTATATTTTTTTTTTTTGTGTTCTTCTCATATTTAATAATAAAATTTTTAAATTAAGAATTCTTGAAGGTAATTCTTCGTTGAAGAAACCCCTTATTATTAATATTTTTTATAGTCTTATGAGATAAAGACTTTAATATTTTTAATTAATACTCAATATTATAACCAAACAATGAAAATAAGTCATTTGGAAAATGTTTTTCATGGAAAATATTTTTCATGAAAAATATTTTTCAGTAAAGTATTTTCTTGCAAGTTATTTTACTGAAACAAATAGAACATTAGTTGTTTAAAAATTATCATGCTCTATTACTCCGTTCCATTTATACAGATAAAGTTCGTTTTTGCACATCAAAAATATTTTTTTTTTCCTAGTTTTTCCTTATTTACCTTTAACACATCAATAAATGAGTTTGTGACTACATAGAAACTTAAATACAGTTAATCCATTTAAGACAAAAAAAAAAAAAAAAAAAAAAAAAAAAAAAAAAAAAAAAAAAAAAAAAAAAAAAAAAAAAAAAAGCAAAATGAACTTTGTACTTCAGTCAAAATCCATTTTAAGTAAATTTGACTATGTAAATGAAACCGCAAAACGAACGGAGTATTATTTAGTTTTATTTTTCAATAAAAAGATTTTTTTTTTTTGTCAAATATAATTATTATAGTTATTAATCCTGAATAAACTATGTACAAATAAGTCTTTTCCGCATGTGTGTACACCCTGACTTGGAGTTGATGCACGCTTGCTAAAGACTTCAACTCTGTTCTCTTCTGTATAATATTTTAATTTTATGGATCGAATGGTACGAACGAAAACTTCATTTTCCTACCAATCATTAAATCGTAAATTTTGATCGCCCTCTAGTTCGCCAGGTTTTTTTTTTAAAAAAAAATCTATGTATATAATATTGATTCTATATATAAAAAAAAACAATCCCAACCTAAAAAGTGAAGCCCTACAAATATATTATATTGCCTAAAAAGTAAGGCCTAACATATTTATATTTCCGATAAGGCCGCTATAAGATATAGTTTTGTATTTTTTCTTTAAATACTTTGCGATATATTCAATTACCAAGTCATAATATAATTATCGGGTCTTCAGTTTCGATATCATTTTATATTTTAATATAAATAGTAACTGATAATTATATTATATTACACTATATATAGTGTAACATATTTGTAACTATATCACGTACGTCAAAACATGATCCTTGGGTTTAATGACACTATAGGCATTGCACTTCATCATATTTACCTTTTCCTTAATTACATTTTCACAAAGCATGATGTTTTTACTATTCACAGTCAAATCGTATTTATTTTGATTAGTAAGTATTTCGTTTAAAAAATATACAATAGCTTGTGCTATATATAATCATAGCCCCAATACATATATAAATTCACTTATTTACTTTTAACGAAAAATCGTGTAGCACCTCTAATTTTTATTTTAATCCATTTAACATCTTAACCTACAAGATTGTATCTAATTAAATACTTTAATTGACTCACTAAATACTTCAACTTATAAATTACGTCGATTAAACACTTATTAAATAGTTAAAAATTATAAAAAATATTGTTTTAAAAAGATATATTAATCACATATTAAATCAATATTTTTTTTACACATATAAGCTAAAAATATTAAAAACTATTTTTGCTAGTGTGAGGAAGCGTGAGGTTATTAGAAAAAGCAAATTTCAGAGTGTTGCAAGATCGATTTTAAAGTTTAAGATGCCATAAGTTTTTTTTATTCTAATTTAAGGATTAAGTTATGAATTAGGCATATAATCATATATATAATAGTTTTTTTTTTAGTTGAGCTGTTACTTAAATTTGACTTAGCAAGTGAAATTAATTGATATGAATGAGATCCTCCATTTTATTTAGACATTATCTTGCTATTGATGGTGTCCTTGTCAATATATAGAATAAGGGAACTTAATTAATTGGTATATATATGTATTTACATATCACAAACCCTGAAAAACAAGAGAAACAACACATGACTTCTCTCTTCTATTTCGAACCTTTATGTCAGGTTTTTAGGAGCATCATGACATGCCTGACCCTCCAAAACAATTTTGTTTTCACCTTTTTTTTTTTTTTTTTTTTTTTTTTTTTTTTTTTTTTTTTTTTTTTTTTTTTTTTTTTTTTTTTTTTTTTTTTTTTTTTTTTTTTGTGGTGTATGAACAAAACAATATATGAACACATGCAAGCCGTGAACAATTTAAAAACAAAATTAAAAAAAATGATTAATAGGGTAGCATATTCATTCGATTAAGTTTAAGCAAATGAACCAGTCCATAATTAATGAATTGTACTTTGTTTTAAAGAAAATCAAATTAAAATAAATATTTTATACATAAAATCAAATTGAATCAAACTAATCCAATATGATTCAATTTAACTTAATTTTTGAACAATAGCATTTTTAAGAATAAAATTGAAGTGAAGAAATTTTTATTTTTTTTTACATAAATAAAAAATGAACAAAATAGTATTAAAATTAAATTAAATTAAATCAAACAAAACCAATCAATAAATTTGATTCGATTTATTCCATCTGATTGATTTTGTCTAGCCCTAATCATTATTGGTTAAACTCTTTTCAACAATTTTAAGTAGGGATCATATGGCACTTTTATTGACAAAAAAAAAAAAAAAAGAAGAAGATTAGAAAAAGAAGAAGCATTAGGCTATCATGTGATCATGATTTTGCGCATTAAAAAAAAAAAAAAAAAAAAGAAGAAGATTAGGCTATCATGTGATCATGTTTTGGCATTAAACCTAATGTGGTTGATTTTGAATATAACATAACAAATTCTTACTTGCCATGATTTTTAGTGTGAGAGAAAACCTGAGGTACACGTCAATTTGATGGGATGACAGCTGACCAATCAAATTGGTCCCACGTATAAGATACAGGCTGACGTTGATATCCTCCATTTCTAACCGTCTGATTTTCCTATTCATCATAAACCAAACTTCTAATTCGTCTATATACAAATAAAAAGAAACGAGCTATACCAATTAATGTCAAATTGTTTTCACGAAAGATAGATAAATATTTTTTTCAAAATAAAGATAAATAAATATATTCTTTGCAAAATTGTTATGGGTCAATTGAGTTTGCATTTATTAGGGATATTTGAGGATATGTTGGATAAACACACCGGAAGAATAATAAAAAAGAAGAGTCAGGAGGAAGAAAAGCAAAAATGAGAGGGACAAGAGAGAAATATAAAAAGTTAAGAGGTTAAAGAAAAAGGGGGATTAAAGATGACTTGAATGCGATTAAATAATTTCACTACAAAAAAAAAAACGCGATTTTGCGACCACCACGTGTCAGTCGCAATATTGCAATGATGTTGCGACCATTTGCGATGAACATTGAAGTAACATAGGTTTAATATTCACCAACAGATTTGCGACCAATCTCCGATAAATTTCGCGATAGATTTGCCACCGACTGCATATCCGTCGCTAATTCTAGTGCTAATAACTCCTGCAAGTTTGGTTTTTATTTAGCGACTCAATTGCGATGAATTAGCGACATATATTTGCGACGGATGTGCGACCGTTTCATAGTTTATCGCTAAATTGCATACTGCAGTTTAGCGCCAAATTTATTTTTTGGTTTGTAAGGGATTAGTGACAGATTTGCGATCGATTTTTTTGGTCGCAAATCTGTCGCAATTGGTTTGATTACAAAACGACATCTCAGGATTAAAAATTGCAACCGATTTGTAATTGAATTACGATCGACAGGTCGGTTGCAAAAAAATAGGGTTTTATAATCCCCTGGGTTGCCATGGGCGTGAGCGCAATGCGCCCCTTCTCCCCTTTTCTCTGCCATTTCCAACAGTTCTCCTCTCTGTTGCAGTGTCGGTTGCCGGAGAAGCCCCTGTCGCCGAAGAAGCCGTGTCGTTCAGGTAGGTGGTGTTACACTTTTAGTTTATCTACAGTTTGTTCTGTAAAAATCCGGTATTATATAATTTATCCACCACATTATGTGATTTCACCTTGTACACTTGTGTGTATTTTCATTT